GCCTCGCTCTGGCGGAGGCTGGCTTTGACCTCGCGATCCTCCTGCCTCAGCCTCCGGAGCCGCTGGGTTCCCAGGTGTGTGCGCCACCGCGCCCGGGGCCCCCTAAAGATCATTTAAAAAATCCACATGTGCAGTTTTTAGAAAAAGGATGGGGACGAGAAAATAAAAAAGAGCTTTTGTGGCAGATAAGACAGGCTGCAAACCAAACGCCTGTAAAAATAAAAAAAGGATCAAAGATTCTGAAATCTCCCCTTCTGAACCTTTTTTTTTTTCCGGTGCCATTCATTATCACTCCCCAAGTGCTTTTGGGACATTTTTTGGTTTTAATTAACTCCCCGTGAAATTTTAACACCAAAGGCACATGGTCTATCCGAGATTCGCACATTATTTTTTTAAAAAAAATATATTAACAACAACAACAACAACAAAAAGACTATTTGCCGTCCCCAGAACCAATTTCTGCCTCCCTGGGGGGGGGGGCAGCCGGACCCCTGCTGGAGTTATTCATCTCCTGGATTATTATCACATTTTGATTTTCATTTGAACGTCTCCTCTGGCAGCAGAGCTCCGAATTTTTGGTCCCAGGACCCCAGGGAAGAAAAAAAATTCACTAAAGACCCAAAGAGGTACAACCCCATGGAATTCATCTTCTCTACTTTTCTACCATCACAGAATCTAAGGCTGAAAGATTAAGGAATACCGTCATCCATTCCTCAAAAGCAACCCACGATACATAAATTTCATAATTATTATTTTTTTTTTACCCAAAAAGGAAATCCCTGTTTTCAAAACAAATATGTTCCTGGGTGCCGTGGTGCACAGACCTGGAAGATGACTGACTCAGGAGGCTGAGGCAGGAGGATCGCACGTCGGAGGCCAGCCTCATCAACTTACTGAGGTCCTGTCTCAAAATAAAACTTTTTTTAAAAGCCTGGGGGTATAGCCCAGGGGTATGGCGCTTGCCTGGCCTACCGGGACAGGGTGATCTATTTCCCTCTCCTCTACCAACAGCTGATATCTCATCTGGGAGATAAAAACAACCCAGTGGCTACGGCCAGTTGGGGCTCAAGATGGCGGAGGGCTTACTGTTGGAAGGCTGGACTGTAGGTGTAGGCTGCGTTGCTGGTCAGGTTGTAGATGAACGGCAAATGCTTGTGGATGTCCGC